TAAAACCATGAGCGTGCACAATGTACAGCTTTTCTCTTTAGCTGTGTAATCTCTTAAGATAAACAACGTCGTGGTACACAGTAACAGGGTGGAAGACGGAGTGATCTCGGTAACTTTCTCGAGACCAGTGAACTCAATGGAGTACCCTTACGACACTTCACTCGTCGGATGTGTGCCATGGAAGGTGAGCGATTTCCTGTTGCTGAAGTCGAACTCTTTCTGTTTACTTTGTCCAAATGGTCCAAATTCAAATGCTTCACAGTTCCTCATTGGCCTCAGCCGAATGGGTCCTCGGGGAGAGCTCCACCACCACCGCATCACGCCGGTGCACGAAACCGTATGCATCGACGAGTGCCGCATCTGAATAGGAGCCGAAGCGTAGTTCGTATGGGTCAAATGGGTCAAATGGGTCGAATGCACTGCACAACTGCGACATCTCAGTAGCTGCAAAATTCTCTGTATTACTCGTTGATGCTACCATGTATATGTACATTTGATAAGGACGTTATGCTTTATGAGGCCATGCACTGAGTCGCAATGAATTCTCTGCTGATTCATCTACAGATCAAAGGCTTCATTAGAGCGCTATAGAGTTTCAGGCAAAAGTAGTTCTAGACCCGAATGACCAGCTGAGAATGTAAGTCAAAATTTAAGTCTTGCTTAGAACATGATATTACAAGGAAGTGAAAGTTTCAACGCTCTCAAAGCAAATAAAAAACGAGTGAAAAGATGAACTAAATATGCTGACAAACGCGAGATACGAAAGATCACAGGAAGTCATAGAGCTGAGCTGACTATCATCCGTCAACAAATTGATAGCTATAAATCCCAACTAAACAAATGATGCTTTATAAGCATATCAGTGACGCCTTTCTTCAACGGTTCTTCACCATTCTGCTTATGTTCGCCAGTCATCACTGTAGACATGATTTTCTTTTTCATGCTCGTCATCATCTGGAATGAACTGGTATTTGCATAGATTATTCACGTTATCACTGTGAACTTACTCCCGGCGCTGTCTTCTTTTTCTTCTCCATTCCCTCAATTTCAAAGTCAACGTTGAGATTGAACGAGAATTGGCTAAGAAGTCGCAGATCACATTTTATCTAAAAAAATATCTCATGTAATATATTTATGAAACAAATAGCAATACGTATGTGGTCAGAATTTTGAGAATTATCTCTCATATACAGCAGAACGATATAGCGTGAAGATCTTGCCAAGCATATTTTATGCTTGAAAGTAGGATTAGCGTCAAATTCTGTCAACTCGGACTCATGAGTTTTATCATAAAAGTGGCCCAAGGAGGATGCATAGATAAATTGATAACCAACAGTCTTTGTGTACCGAAAGGTCCAATTTCTCTCTATTGCAGCCCTGCATATTTGGTTTTTCTTCTTCAAATTTTGAAATTTGTAGAGATGTTTTTATTTCTTCAAGAACCCGAAAACAAAGTAGGCGATGCACTACTGCTATGAAAACCTTTTTTT